ACAAAATCTGATCGGGCCCATGGGAAAGCACACTTTCTTGCAAAACCAAACACTTCAGCTGTCAAGTTTGAAACGCTTCCAACATCTTCTTTGGTTTTAATTTTCTTGTCAATGTCGTCTTGATGCCGCTTAAGACATTCCAGGAAAAAAGGTGTCACAGTTGAGTATGTTTGTGTGAGCTTGTAGTTGAATCTTTTCACCTCCAAGTAAAACATGCCAACCTCTATATGCTGTTATGAGTATAGGAAAACAATATCAGGTCAGTATTTATCGACAATGCTACATACAGTGTCATTACAATTGGAAATGTTATTTTGAAAAACAACTTACAAGTGTATCCAGCCACTCTTGATCCATGAAGAGATCATAAAGCCATGTTTTGCTACTGATTATGAACTTATCCAGTACGATAGGCTTCTTTGTCATGTTTTCATCTCCTTTTGTATAAATCTTTCTGACTCCTGTTCTGGCCTTCCTCTTCAACATACCACATTCAAGGAATGTCTTAAGTTTATCAATATCTTCTTGTGGGGGCATTTCCTTAGGGTTCAGGCTGAATTGTCCAATCACGACTTCCATTTGACTCAGAGTTACTTCAAACTTGCTCTTCACAGCTTCCTTCATTTTCTGTGTCTTCTTTTGCACCTTTCGCCCTGAAAGTGAGAGCTTTTGGGGCTCTTTAGTTTGCCTCTTACTCGTACGTGTCAGCACACAAGGGGCTTCATTTTCAGCATTTCCATTGTATTCTTGCAAATTTGCAACATTAAGTTTCCATTTATGGCATGAGGTCCTTTTTTATCCATTATAGCTTTCAATATAATTTGCTCACACTTATTGGTTGTGCATCAATTATCGTATCCATTTTCACATGCTCAACAAGCTCTTTAGTTGCAACATCCACATCCATACATTTCCCTTTTATAGCCATCCCCTCTTCAGGCAACTGCAAAACAATATAAACAGTTACATTGTTTACAGCCAAATCTAACTTGATACAAAGACAATTATATACTCTGTCACACCGCACAGTGCCATCTAACACAGTATACTTTGTCACGGACAGTGCCATCTAAGACAATACTCTTAATGAGTTAACACTTTCACATCATCAGAATCCTTTATACCACTTAGTTAGTATTTTCTTTTAAGAATGTTTACTTACAGTGATTCCTTGTTCATCAATTGTAGAATCCATCTGCACTTTCTCGAAATTCGCATTAGCTGCGGGCTCCATATCAGATCCACCTTCCTTCTCAAAGATCTGCATGGCAATAATAATGATAACACAGTTTCACATATTCACAATATACTATCTTATTTAATACAAGAGTAAATGGTCTTACATTTCCTTCAATTGTGCCTTTCAAAATAGCATTCACTTCTTTGTCCATTTGTTCAAAGAACTGATCACTGAACTGTGTTTCAGACAACTTAGGCAAAGTCTCAATGCTTCTTTCATCTCTCATACCTTCTTTGATTTTATCATCTCCCTCATTAATGACTGTGGTGTCAACATGACCAAGATCATTGTCATCATGTCTGGAAGTGTCATCCTTTCCCACAGATCCATGGTCAGTGCCATCTTCTTCCAAAATAGTATCCTTCCCCATGTTTTTATTTTCCATGTCTTCACTCTCAACATTCTCATTGACAATTTCATCATCTATCTTTTTAAAACCCCTCTCCTCTGTATCATCTCCCTTTTGTCTTTCTAATTGCTCAAGGATCATCTTCAGCACTTTCCCTTGGCTTTCCTGCATTTTTTTCATGTCATTGAGAATTGTTATAATCTGACTCTAACTCTCCTTCTTCCTCTTTGATTTTCTTTTTGGAAGAAATTCCCCTTTCATGCTGTGAATAATTCTCTTTCTCTTCTCTTTTGGCTTGTTTTGGGCATTTCCAGTTGTTGAAAGTTTCCTTTTCTTAGCACTACCAACACTCAGATTTCTTGCTACAGTTGCAGCCTTTTCTGAGCTCTCAATATGTTGCACAGTGTCATCTATCCCCCTTCTTATGTATTCACTAGCAAATAATGCCAATGAAGGATCATTTAACTCCCTCTCACTTGGAACAATCTTTGACACTTCAAACTATGTAAAACAATAAAAAAAATATTAATATAATCCAGATTTACTACATATTCTCATTAAAAGAGAATTTCATAGAATACGAACCTCTGGATTTTCAAATATGGCTTAATGAAGAAACTGTGCTGAAATCTTTGCATAAATCTCCCACCTTAGGCAATGTGGAATCCAATCTTCTCTTCCTTTTACAATTTGACAATGCCCCGACTCTCTCAAGGAAGGAAATTTCTCAAATGCCCATACCTATAAGGCAAAGACAAACCCTCCAAACGTCACTCTTCCCCTTCCACGAGCTTTAAGGGATTGTGCACATCTCCGAGCATGTGTTAACAACTCTTCCCATATGACTTCACCCCATGGGAATTTATCGAATGCATCCAAATCATCTACTAGGTTAATGTATCCAATAGGAAAACTAACACATGACTGGTGCCCAAACATAACATTGCCCAACAGATGCAGCAATGCTAGCTTTACAACATCATCAGTTTCTACTCCGGGGTCATCTCTGTTGTGTTGCAGCAGTGCATCCGTAATATGACATCGCTGAACAGATTTTCCCGTATTGAAATACCTTAACCCGAAGTCACCCAACCTTTCATCATTCAAAGTTATCCTATTCCCTCCGCCTCCCAGTCCTGCAATAAGTTCAAACTCTGGCTTTGTGAACAAGACTTTTCTCCCCTTTATTTTGAACTTCATTTCTTTACATCCAGTTATTCCTTGCTTTGGTAACTTGTACCTTTCTAACAGACCAACTAAGAGCCCATTATTAATCCATCTAACTTCAGGAACATCCAACAGTTTTCCAAAAACCGTGCCTCTAAAGACTTCAAGCTCCTCCTTTCTCAACACGCCTTTAATTCTACGTACGGTCTCAAGCACATTACAATAAGTGTTAATTCCTCCATCTTTAGGCTGTGCTGTATCACCTTTCTTCACAAATTTACGTGATACCTGTATATTAAAAGGTTGTTTAAAACAAAAATAAGTCACAATGCAATCACTGATAACAAGACAATAGGTCTACTGGAAAAACGCAGTTCAACAACAAAACTAGGTCACAATGCAATCCCTCACAACAAGACCATTGGTCTACTGGAAAAAACGCAATTGAACAACGAAAATAAGTCACAATGCAATCCCTCACAACTTCACCATGCATAAACTGGAAAAACTCAATCGAACAACAAAACTAGGTCACAATGCAATCCCTCACAACAAGACCATTGGTCTACTGGAAAAAACGCAATTGAACAACGAAAATAAGTCACAATGCAATCCCTTACAATTTCACCATGCATAAACTGGAAAAACTCAATCGAACAACAAAACTAGGTCACAATGCAATCCCTCACAACAAGAACATGCATGTACTGGAAAAACTCAATTGAACAACAAAAATTAATCACAATGCAATCCCTCACAACAAGACCATGCATAAACTGGAAAAACTCAATTGAACAACGAAACTAGGTCACAATGCAATCGATCACAACAAGACCATGCGTCTACTGGAAAAACTCAATTGAACAACGAAACTAGGTCACAATGTAATCGATCACAACAAGACCATGCGTCTACTGGAAAAACTCAATTGAACAA